AAAGACACGGATGTCGAACCGGCAGGTTACTCGACATGGAAATTATAGATTCACGTCGAGATAAATCATCTAATTTCTGCAGTTACTTATTTTCCCCCTGAGAAAATCAACTGTAACCCATCATTATAGAATTTGATCATCTTGCAAACGCTGATAAAAAAAAAAGAATTAAACAATTAAACCGTATCAAAACCTTCACTCGTGATACTTTGTAGCTACTTTGTTACCAGTTGACTTACCATGACGAAGAAGAACAGGAGCCTTGGCAAGGACTCCTGGATCAAGGATCTATTCAGTAAGCCAGGAAACAGAATAAAACGTACCTTTTCTCTAATGCGTTTAGTCTTTTTTCGATTTCTGATTTCTGTCCTTGGTTCAACATAAAAGGGTGGGTTCTTTCGCGTATTTCACCTTCATCAGCAGACACTCGATTGAGGTTGGGATCTTCGAATCGTCTTTCAACCCGAGCTTCATCTTTGGCGGAAATGTGAGAAACACTAGCACACAACATCACCAATACGACTGATAAACGGAGCCCTGTGCGGCGGCATGTAACCACGGTGGACAATTTCATCGTTGCAAATTAAGATTGACCAGAGCCTCTTCCCGTTGCTTTCCGTGCTGTTGTTAAGTGATCTTTACAAGTAATGTTCTCCCTATATATTAGGTGAGGTGCAGAATTGCGGAAAATTAATTCACGATGGTTAAAAGAAAGAGGCATGTAGCAAATATTTCATTTTGTTATTCTTTTGTTATTTAATGGTACTGTTAAGTATTGTTAAGCCAACACCTTTCTCATTGCGTGCAGAGATCGTCTATGATGAGCGACGCCAACGTTCTTTGTGCTTCGTTGCGCGTTCCTAATCACATCAAAAGAAAGAAGAAACGCATAACGAAGTGTTAGGAACGTCTACGTGGGAGGCTAAGACTGAAGTATGAGCATAGTTAAATAGTACAGTTATCATCGCCGTCGGACCTCATTCAGTAATGCGTTTATACAGCGAGATTAGCATCACCCCCATTCTAACCTGTAGCCGTGTTCAGTCCTTATCGGCAAGAAATAAATTTTAGACTACTTTGCTTTTTTTCTCTTAGTAGTTTTGTTTCCTGAGCACAAATAAACATTGCGTTTGTTGTTCCTCTGGTTGTTGTTTTCCTTTTTTTGAACTCTAATAGCATTAGATTATATTATTTTGAAATTACTGACCAACAAAAATTTCTTATTCATCTCGAGTCAGTATTCAGTCACAATTTGTGAACAAAATTCAATGGACTGTGCCGGCACGGCCAGTGAGCTCCCAACACAAAACGTAGCAACATTGTTTTCATCTTTGATGTTTTCCGGCTTTCATTATCTCTCTCTCCCGCTCTACTATAAGCCAACGTTCAGGGCGAAGGGAGAAATTTCGAGGGCACACCCTCACAAAGGGTGAAAATGAGAGGAGGCTTACTCTGCCCTTTCGCTTGTTCCTCTCACGCGCTATGTTAAAACCGTGAACCAAAAAACTAAGTGGCGCCCGCCTCGCAGGCTACTGATTTCTGCTGCTTTTCTCTAACCCACTCCTACGTGATGTTCTTTCTATCGTAACAGGTGCAAGATTGCGGAAAATGAATTCAGTGCTTGTACGTAAACGAATATAACAAACATCAATTTTGTTAAAATTGTAATTTAATGGCACGCTGAAAGTGACGAGAGATTTTGCAGGTGAAAAAGTAGAATTTTCTGTAGAATTGTCGGCCCTATAAAACTATACAACGGAACTCAAACTTGTCTTACATTTATTTTCTCTGTAAGGCATTTTCTTGTCATCGACGTTTGTTTTCGGGGTTTATTGATTCCAAAGAAATCCTCGCCGCGGTTCAATTAGGAATTTATGTTTAAACCACCTCATGCGCACACAAACATAGTTACTTATTAGAGCGTAATCAGAATACCAGTGGCTTGAATCACGCAAATACAAATTATAATAACGAAAAATTAGTGAACGATTACTGATGCACGTAGTATTTTGATAAAATGCTTTAGCCGTTTAATAATGAAGACTGCTGAAAATCATAACTTAGACACAGTATAGTTCACAGTCCTAGGTCTCAAGCAAAAAAGCGCCACATACAAACCCGCAAGAAAAAAGAATCGCTTTGAAGGTGTTGATTTTTATTACTTCCTACAGTACTAAACTAAATTCAGTCGTATATGTGAATGCCTAGTAAGTCAAATTACTGAATGTCCTCAATTAACCTTGACGGGTCTTAGGCTAAGTGCAATTAATGGACGCAACAACTTCCAACGTTGTTTACCCAACAATGTTAAGAATTGTTGCTCCGTTTGCACGTAGCTAAAAGTTTGACCGCCCGGTTTCAAACTTTGCGCAACAACAGCCCAACAGCGCGCAACAACATGCAACACGGTGTGCAAACGGACGCAACATGTAACATCCAACAATGTTGGGAGTTGTTGGCTTTACAAAAGCAGATATCCACACTTGCAGTAATTGCTTACGCTTGGAGGATTTCAGGCTCCCGAAGAACGAACAATGTGTTCAGAGATTTGACATCCCTGGATGTAAAGTTTACTTTCTTTTTCACCAGGGACCCACTTAAAACCGCTTTTACCATGAAGGATATTTCTAAAGAATTCAGTAAGCAGTGATTAACGAACTTTGCTTCATTTTTCGTGTTGTTTGTAACTCGTTAGAGCGTGGTAAATTAGTTTGTGTATGAGTGCATGTTTTAGTTTGATCAATTCTATCTTTCAAATCTTTCAAGATTAGCTTTATTAACTTTATTATTATTACTTTTTTTATCAACTTTTTAAAATCATACCCTCATTCAGCGACGAAAACGACTTAGCACATGCATGTCGAAAAGAAATCATCGCTCGCAGGGTATTTAAATCAAAATGAGATTATCCTGTTTACGACAAAATAGTGACAACAGCCAAACAAACAAATAATCAGGTATAATGCCTCATAAACCTAAAAGCTAGGCCAAGTAAATTGAAATATCTTATCTTCTGTTGGTTAACAAAGCGCCAAACACAATTTTTTTTACCTGATAACAAGCACTTTTTTTTGCGCGCTGACTGGTCGAGAGAGTATGGACGATGGAAATGAGGTAATGATAGCGCAATTTGTTGTTCTCTGTCTCTCTTTCCAGGGAAAATAGTGACAAAAGCATAGATCATGGAAATTCATTATCGATTTTTTAATCTTTCTAACAGTTTTTCTGTTGAGGTTTCGATAGCTTGTAGTTGTTAAAAATACCCTCAATGAGTTCTTGAGGAAGAGGGCAAATAATAATATAAAGTTAGGTAAGACTCAACCTAAGATATCCGCTATTTTGTTACAAACACACGTGAAGCGTTCGCCAACAATGATATCTATGTCCTCGAGGAATGATTACTTTTTGTAGCCAATTCAATTTTTAGTTCTCTGAGCGGCATTTACCTAAAGATTATCCCCACAAATCTTTAAAGGTTGGTTTACTGAGGTTGACATTCATCGTGTTCTTTTAAGAGAAATCACCACCCGATTGCCGGTATCTTCCGTAACAGAGAGCCTAGTGTTTACAACAAACGGCAAGACGTCAATAGGTACCACGTGATGAAGTTTCCCTTTTACTTGCGTTTTTTCACTGATCATTATATCTGAACAACTAGCCTCATGCCTTTTTCCCCTTAACAGTAGCATGGTGCTCAGACAAATTCTAACGAGCGAGCGGAGGAGTCTTGGAACCGAAATTCTCCTGACAAACTTGACGGGTGACGTCACATCCCAACTCGCTTCCAAGGACGACTGAAACAAGGCTGTGAGTACCGAATTTCGAACACTTCACTGCCAAACAAAACTGATGTAAGCTGGCTACGTTTCAAACATGATATTTTTACCAGTTACCAGCTGACCTGATTATCACCGTAAATTTTTAGTTATCCAAAGATTAAGACCAGCTTTTAATGCGGATTTACTGTTTAGATTGTTTTTCATAATCTCCCTTCCAGACCCCTCTCCCTCATTACTACCATATAGATCTGTCAAGATTTATGAAAAGATGAATGCGCTAAAATAGAGCTCAAACGTCCTTCATAACTTATCAGTGCATCATTGGCTTTTTTTTCTTGTCCCCAAGGACGGCGGAGTGTATTTTAAACTGACAAGGTGAGGCGCGAAGGGGGAGGGGGAGGGGGGGGGTGCTTGAAAACGGTGGCATATCATCCCCCAGAAACTTTTGGAATTTAAAGGCTCGGAGATGGAATTTTCAACATTTTCCATGAGATGTTTCATTTAAAAAACTCAGTCTGGATAACTTGTGAAATGACAGGTACTTCGACGGCTTCGTTTCATCTAGTGAACACCTTTATGTATTTCACTTGTGTTCTCGAATAACTAGTGAGTATCAATCGAATTAACGTTAACGGAAGTAGTGCTATGCATTGAAAGTTACCAAAAAAAAAACTTTTCCAGGGAGGGGGGGGGGCAAAGCCCCCTCAACCCCCCGGCTCTGCCGTCCCTGGCTCCCTCCTTTCTATATCCTCGCTCTCTATTTTAATCTCCTTGATCTTCCTTAGGGTGATTTTCAGGCTTCTCGGACGCATTTAAGTGGAAAACTCACTTTAAGTTACCGCACTATATTTCCAAATGGAAATGGAAGGCGTTGAACTTCCAGAGCCCTAATTATAGCGATTGTTTCGAGTACATTAAACAAGTATGCCTTCGTTGATGTTCTTATCTTTAGCTGGATGATTTTTTCCGGGTGTCGGTGAAAAGCATTTAAAAAGAATCCCCTTCAATTGTGAACGAGGTCATAAGGGCTATACGAAGTAAGCTAGCAAATTGATGTTTATGAATGATCACATCATACGTTTATTCTTTTTACTTACAGTTCGTGTTAAGTTACAACAGGTTTATATAGGCACTGTTTTTAAAGGCAAATTATGAGACCTAAATCAAATCACCATTCAATATCTTTTGTAGCTCATTGGTAGCACTGGTAGCCACTACTCATCACTTGGTACACACAGCGCATGTCAACTCTCCACCGCTGGCATAAGGAGGACATGGGAGTGAGCCGCAATTTTCTTCCACAGCGTACAGCAAGGCACCGTTTTGGTTGGCATGGCTACCAGGAACATACTCTGGATCCCCATCAACACAAATGAAGTCGCTTGAATGCTTGTGGTTATAATAAGCAGTCATCAGGTACCCACGATACTCCTTGATCCATCCAGATGGACAGTCATTCCTAGCAGGCATCATCAGCATTGAACCACGTGACTTGACGAAGCAGACGACGCACGGCGCATCATGATTGTGAAGATTTTTCTTAAAAGGGTCTCCATTGTAATCATTCACTTTATATTCAGTGCCGCACACGTATCCAGCGGCCTGATAGCCATCTTTGTACTTGTCATACTTTGGATTGTGTGGAAGGCAGAGATAACTTGCTCCACCACCAGGGTTATTGTAGTATTCTCCACCAATCATACCTGATGTGAACAACAAATCAATTTAAGACTATAAAAAGATTTTTGATAGAAGCTGACTAGATTATAGTTAAACCCAGTTACTACAGAGACTGAAGGGGCCAGAGAAAATGTCCGTATTATGCGGGTTTAATTTAGAAAAAGTGTACTAAGAGTTTTCTTTCCCCAGGGATAAAGGAAACTGTCCGTAATATAGAGGTGTCCGTATTAAGCAAGTCTTAGAGCGGGTTTGACTGTACTTAAAAAATCGTGATCCACTGAGTGTTTTGGTCACACCCAGAGTCTACTGTCATGCTCGATGTCCCTGGCTTTACTTTGTTTCCTCTCAGTGTTGGTAGCCGAATCATACAGTAAATAATCAAAGTAAATTAAAACTTAAGTCACTTTCACACTAAAGCTTAAACATGTTTAAAAAGGTGTTTAGTTAAACAAGGTTTAAGTTAGTTATTTCTATAAAAGGTGCTTATTGTCAGTACTCTTTGACTTTTAATGAAGACAAATTTAGTGCAGTTTTGTAGCATGTTTTAAAGTTCACTTGGATTCTTTGCAAAAGCCTTTGTTTAAATTTTCCGTTGCTGTTTTTGATTTTTTTAAGACCTAGTTTAAAAAAAAAATAAACATGTTGTTGGTGTGAATGGGGCATAAGTTGTTGAAAGATTGATTCAATCGACGTTACTTTCGAATCATTTTTAAAAGGATATGGAATATATAAGATGCCTGAGGCGGCAACACAAAAATGTGAAATCTACTTCAACGAGAAGATCGTGCTAAGAAGTTTAAGAACACACCTTTGTGGAATAATTCACCAGACATGGCCTTACCAGTTTATAAGCTAATTGGGCGATAATTATTTACGATTTATAAAATTGTTCTCATTTTCTTACCTTTGTAAACTACCTGAGCGCCACTAGGACATGTGATCCTTCCCCAGCGAACGTACTTCACCCCTGATGTCCCAGATCCATCCTGTCCCTTTTCTCCTTTTGCACCCTGTGGTCCCTGAGCTCCAGTCTTCCCAACTGCTCCCTGGTCTCCTTTAGGACCAGGAGGGCCTGGAAATGGCTTGTTGGTTCCAGGTTTTCCCGGATCCCCTATGACAGTTAAAATGACCTTTAGCACTCTGCAACTTAACTGGTTATGTTAGTTCTTACTAGCAATTTTTTGCTCTTCAAAGTAGCACAGCTTTGTGATTCATCGAGCTCATTATGAGCTTTATTTTGGTTTTATAAATTACCACTTACATTTGATTTCTGATCTCGTGGTCAAGAGGTGGTTGAATGTTTGTTTTAAAATTACTTAATTAAGACAAGAAGAAATCATAAAATTTGTCCCATGTTAAGGGAATCCGGATTCCGGAATCCGCGAAACTTTTGCCCATGAAATCAGCAATCCTGGGCTTTGGAATCCAGAATACAGCTCAGAAAAATTGGAATTGAGAATCCAAGTGCCACTAGTCTACACTGACAAAGAGCTCGGAATCCATAGCTTGAATCTGGAATCCATGGGGTGGAATCCGGGATGCAAGACTCTCTTAGATTCCTTTACGTGGGGCGAATGAAATAAACAAATTTAAGTAGCAGAATTCTTCTTCTCATGATAAGGAAATGACAAGTAAGACAAACCGTTTTTCATTGTCATTGGATCATCAGTGGATTTACCTCTAACCTTATTAAACTTAGATTACGTGTGTAGAATAGACACGATCTCTTAAAAACGGTAAGTTGTTTTTATTGTCCATCTTAAAGTAAGTGGCTGAGTTGAATGACTTAGATTAGATCTCAAGTATTCGATCCCTTTTTTCTCTTGTTCTTCCTGGCCATCAATGAAGGGAAAAATTATTTTATCGCCACTTTCCTTAGGTCATCGTGCGAATGGCTTCAATTAATTGTACCTTTCGGTCCAGGTGGTCCTTGTTTTCCAGGAGGGCTGGGTGGTCCAGCTCTTCCCTTACCAGTATTTTGCATATGCTGCCCTAAAACAAGTACACGACTTTATTATCAACAAATCATAGGAACCAATCTACCCGCTGATTGTGTAGAGTTGTTGGCAATTTTCTCTTTAATTGACTCTAATTCAAGTTCAGTGTTCCGGCTACAGCAATCACTTGTTCTATACAATATATGTTCAACATTATGTGAAGCTATTTTTTTGCTGCTCTTTTGAGAATAATCGCATCACGAGATCAAGAACTCAAATCAGTCTCGCTTTTGAAATTGCCAGACTTAATTATTCAACGTAAGTGGACAATATCATTGTTTTCCAAGTTATAGAACTCTGCTAAATTAGAGTACAAACCAAGAAGGTAGGCCATTAGCCCGTACGATTCCTTTGGTCGAGGACGCATGCGCAGTAAAACATCAAGCCTACAGAAAGATGAAGACTAATAATTAGGGTGACATAAAAAATTTCTGGAGCAGCTGATAATTTTTTGCACCAATTCTGACACTAATTTTTGATCGACTTTAATTAGTTCATCTGCAGTGAGTAAATCTCTTGAACAGAGTTGTGCTGATCGAGTTATTATGCTTGGGTGACAACGTTTTTGCCTCGGGTAAATAAGAATGATATATTCTTGCGAAATTAACTGAAATATGGTTTCCCATTCACTTGAGTAAATTTGCCTGTTCCAGCTGCTAAAAGCTTACCGATGCAAGATGACTTTTTCTCAAACTTGAACCTTAAAGAGCTAGCAGTGTTACTAAAATTATTCAACATGATTCAATATATCTTCAAACGAGGTTAGTTGCTGTCTACCTCCACAAAATTTAAATGCGACGAATTCCGCTTTTGGACGGTTTCACAGCAATTATATAGAGTTTCATAAGGAAGGCTGTTTCTAGGTTTAAAAAAAAGTTAGAACCAAAAGATGACGTTTGCACAAGACAAGGAAATTTTCTGAATTAAATGTTTTTGACTGAAGGATTCTCAACCGCAAAGCCTGTCATGCAGTACACCGCTCTCATATGTAAAGGAGCACCACTCCATTGAGCACTCACGAAAACCGTCATTGAGATTACTGTTACAGGTTTTTAAAGTCGTTGTCAATTATCCTGGTTTGTTTTCACTTTTTAATGCGCATTTCTACTAGTAAAATACTGTATAGGTACTGCGAGAAAATTCTTTTGATAAACTAGATTCACATTGACTAGAGGGTTTCAATGGGGTTAACCGATAGGCGTAAAACGGCCAAAACTTTAGTCGATAGCCGTAAAAATTGAAAATTTTTAACCGTTAGCCGTAAATACAGTAAACAAGAGTTAACCGTAAAGGAATTTTTTCCCTAGATTTGTTAATTTTAAGGAAGGTGCTACACTCACTTACGGAATGCGTTTTTTATTTCCCGGGTACTGTGACTCCGTACGCACGTTACGCCAAGCGCCTGTAAGTTGTGACCTAGACCTTGTCTCCCTTTTCCGCCGCTCTCTCGGGGAACTACGTGTAACTTGTTCCATAGCGAAAGTGTGGCTTCTTACTGGGGATTATTATTTGGAAACACTAGTGAAACAACACGCAGAGATATCACTGTTTGTAAAACACGTTGCTGATTATCAACAATTTCCTGTTTTTCTCCGACGCTACCGTAGACATTGCCATGCCTAGTCCCTGTACAGCTTTTATCCCACGCAATCTCAGTCAAGGCATTTCGGTGGCGAACTCCCTCGGACCACGTGACCCGAACGCATTAGCCGCGCTGAATGATGAGGCCTACGGACAAGTCAACGGCAAACAGTCGTTCTGTACAGTCCTTCGCTATCATTAAAAACACTGGACACGAGAACTTTTTTCATTGGCCGTTTTCACACTAGAACTAGAAATGGATTATTCGCCTGAGACTAGCCTGTGTGAGACGCGTGAAAAACGCAGTGCGCATGCGTTCAAAATTATACGCGATACCAAAACAAACTAGATTCCGGCCGCGAAATTCAAAAAAGTAAGCTCCACACACAAAAGATAAGCTTAGAATTTCACGAACACAAAGTTTATTAATTGCTTTAGTTTCTCTCTTTTGCACCACATACTTTCCTCCTTGCACCAGAGGCGAAAATCATGTTTGAAAGTCCACGCTCGCTCTGGCAGCACTTCGCCGTAGCCATTGTTGCTGTTTTGGTCATCATGTCGCTGAGCTCGGTCAATGCGAACAACGAAATCGACCAATGCATGCTAAGTGGAAAAACAAGGACGGAAAAACCTTGTACTGGACGACTTTACCAGTTAGTTAGTTAAGTTAGTTTAAGTAATTTTTTGTTGTGCTTAATACTAGAATCGGCTGCAAACCATTAAACGTATCAAACATTCCTAAATGTTTTTCAATTTAAATGGGAAGATTTTGCAAATTTTAATTATTGAAAATAGAGACCTTTCGCATGCGCAGACGTTTTGCACGCGTGCCAGCCTGTGTACAGTCGCCCCCTCCCCCACAGACACCCCTTCTCCGAGGAGAGGGGGCTGCTGAACACAGTCTCTCTGAAATGGATAATCCTTCTTCAAATTGTCCGTCAAAATTGATGGATAAAGTCAGGCGAATTGTTCATTCAAAATTAAAACTATTCCATTTTCAAATTAAGACTTATTACCTATCTGACGCGAATCATCAAACGGATAACCCGTCTCACACGAATAATCCGTGTCTAGTGTGAAAATGACCATTAGTAGAAATGAATGTCGCGCCTCGGCCTTGAGTTGGGCGCTCGCGTGTCTGCTTTAATTTGCTTTTTCACAAAGATTATTTGATTATTTTTAAATTGACTATTGACATTTCTATGTGTAAAATAATATTAGAAATGAAATACTTTATAAAAAGTATGTGATCTATCAAATGTTAAAATTTTTCAAAAGAATTGCTTATTTCATCCCGAGATGATCCGAAGACCTTTATTTTGCTTTAATGATACAAAAAATACAGGATAATTAATATTTAACTATTTGAAACTAAAGAAATTAATTTTTTACTTTTTTGTTAACCGTAACTGAAAAAAATTAACCGATAGCCGTAAAAGAGCCAAAATTTTGACCGATAACCGTAAAAGCCACCACCCCATTGAGACCCTCTGACTATAGATCTATTTTTTTCTTTGTAATTTCCTTTCCTAATGTCGCCGGATAAAAAATTTGAAAATTTCGTCTTCTTGCAAACGGTGAATAAAAAGGGGAGAATATGCTGCAAATAGAAAATTTTAATTCGAGTTACCTTCGGGTTTTTTATAGCAGTTTCCTGAGCAACAGAGTAAGGATTTTTCAGTGAAGAAAATAAAACGTACCTTTCCGCTACGTCTCTCAGTCGTTTTTCGATGTCCGAAAAGTTTAAAGTCGCGTTTTTCTTTACTGCTTTTCGTCCTCGACTCAACAAAGAGCGTTTTTCGCGTATTTCAACTTCATCAGCAGATACTCGGCTGGGGTTAGGATTTGCGACTCGTCCTTCAGGCGACCGAGTTTCATACTTGGCGGATATGTGAGTAGCAATAGCACAGAACATCGCCAGCTTTAGAGCCTGTAAACGCATCCCTGTACGATACGTACCGACAGTGGATAATTTCATCGATCGCAAATAGCGTATGAGCGTCTTCTCTTTTTTAGAGTACTGCCTCGGACAGCGCACTTTAAAGAGAATTATTATCAAGTGTAAGTCACCTCGAAATCAGAGGGTGAAACACTGATAAGAATCAAGAATTTATTCTCGTTTGTGACGTAGCAACATTGTGCACATCGGAAGTCAAAGGGAGCAAAGTCAAGTATTACACGGCTTAGTGGAGTATTACACTGCTTAGTAGATCCTGTCTCCAAGCGGAAGTAAGACTGAGAACTCTTACGAGCTTCTATCATAAAATAAATACCCCATCGCCTTTAACTTTTAAGAAAACAACCGAAAAAGAAAGGTAGTTAATCAAAATAAGTCAAGTTAGTTTTATAACTCTTCAAATTTGTTCCATTTATTACATGCCAGAATAAGCTAAAATTTTGCGGGTTTCTCAAAGTAAACATGGATACTTTGCTTTTCAATTGATTTAATGACAATTCAAACTGATTATGCAAACGACTGCTACTACGGCAATAGAGCAAAGTAATTCTGTCATTACTCATGACAGACACTCATTTAACTTAATAAACTTAAGATCTACGCCTAAGGATCTAATACACTTGCCAGGACAGCCACTAAAAGTACAAAGTTTCTTTTAAAGAATTCTTTCCCACTCTCTGGGAGATCACTTTTAATTCTACAGTATTATGATAATTTAACTGAGATCGAATTAACGGTTTTACCAACCGAGTTAGCACATAAAACATGTGAAGGTCCGAAGCTGAGTCTGCCGTCAGTTG